TCCTTCTCACAAACTTGGAGGAAAATGAATCATGTGCTTGGGATTCAGTTTGAAGAGAAAAATCCAATTGTCTAAACAGAGGCTATGATTGTAAAACTCAAATTATGTAAACTGGGTGCTTTGACTCAGTTGCACAGTGGCTCTCCTGGATGAATTCAGCTGGGGAGGAGAAAAATCCTAACAACTTTTCAAAGCTCCATGTGACTCAAGTATTCATTTGACTTTCTGACACGGAGGAAGAATTTCTGGAGAAAAAGTACACTTCTTCCGCCAACATGCCAGCGTTATCTTCCAAAAACATGGTTTGGAAACTATCACTTTCTGCAGAGGCCCCTCTCACTCTTTCTAGAATGTGGTAAAGCCATTGGGAACAAAGTCTCACGTGGTTGCCCTTAAATTTGTGTCCCTGAGAAAACCAACAACAGTTCCTTTCCTCTCTTTCTTATAGAAGAAGGTGAATGGAGTCACAGAAGGGAGGTCCTGTGGGTCAACTGTATCTCCCTGTGAAAGATATGTTGCAGTTCCAACCCCAGTGCCTGTGGATGTGACCTTATTTGGAAACAGGGTCTTTGTAAATGCAATCAAGTTAAGATGAAGTCGACTGGAGTAGGTGGGTCCTCACCTGTGGTTGGTGTCCTTACAAGGAGAGAGAAACTGGGGTCCAGAGACACAGGGCCATGTGCCAGTGGAGGCAGAGGTCGGGGTAGGACATCTACAAGGTGGGGAACACCTAGGATCACTGGCAGCACCAGAAGCTGGAGGGAGGCATGGAGCAGATTCCCTCTCAGAGCCTCCACGAGGAGTCAGCCCTGCAGACGACTTGCTTTCAGACTTCTGGTCTCCAGAACTGGGAGAGTATACATTTTTGCTGTGTTAAGCCCACCCAGCTTGTGGTCATTTGCTACAGCAGCCCTGGGGAACTAATACAGGAGGTGAGTAATTTTTCTTTAAACATGACACTGGGGTCACCCAAGACTCAAAGCTGGACGTCATAGCTCTGCGGGAGATGCAGCCTGGCTTCTGATCTGGGTGCTCCAGGACAGCTGAGGAACCAGTGACAGTTTCTGTCACACATGCTGGTCTGAGGGTGCCCACGCTGCCTGGGCTTGTTCATCCCAAGGGTTGATAAAAATTGACCCTTGCCTGGGGCGTCTGGGTGGCTCAGTCGGTTAAGCGTCCGACTTCAGTTCAGGTCATGATCTCATGGCTGGTGGGTTCAAACCCCGTGTTGGGCTCTGTGCCGACAGCTCAGAGCCTGGAGCCTGCTTCGGATTCTGTATCTCCCTCTCTCTCTCTGCCCCTTGCCAACTCACACTCTGTCTCTCCATCTCTTAAAAATAAATAAACATTAAAAATTTTTTTAAAAAAATCAACCCTTGGCCTGAAAGAAAGTCTGGGGGATGTATCAATCAGGCGTCCATTGATCGGTCAAAGACCAAGTGTGCAAGTGTGGAACAGTATGTTCAGTGTAGGGAACTCTAAGATCTCTTTGTGTTAGAGACAGATAGCAAGCAATCAGAAATGGAAACATAAACGTCAAATATTATAAGGAATGTATTTTTCAAACTGTGAAGAGCTGAACAGAGTTTAGGTATTTCTATCACCACCCATCTTACAGGGTCATTGGGGAGACGAGCAAGTGTAGAAACTGAAAGCTTGCTGGGTTTTCTGGAAAATTGCTGTAAGATGTCACATCGTAATGCAGTGTTTTGAATGCATCTGGCTTCACTGCTAGACCCTAGAGATCGGAAAAGAAATCTAAACATCTGTGTACTTATTATGTAGGTGAGTTTCTACAAGGTTCCACTGCATCTGGTTTACAGGCACTTTTCATGCAAGCCTTCAGTGGCCATATGAAACCCATGACTTTTTGCTAGAAATACCGGCACAGGGAGATGGGACCCAGCTAGGTAATGAGTGGATGTAAGCACTGCAAACATTTCGGAGTCTTGCCTTACCTGTGCTATTTTAATCGATGGTGTGCGAAGGTATGAAAATAATTTATGCATTTAAAAGTTTTACATACTTAATAAAAATTAAGAACTTAAGAATTATAAACAAATACAGAAATGAGAAGCCTTGAGACAGCACAGAATAAATGTTAAGGAAGTGTCACAGGAGAGGGCACCAGATGATAAGACTAAGAGGAAATCTGTGACGATGAGGGTGGAGGTTATGGTCTCACCAGGAGAAGGACAACGCACGGAAGGGCCAGTCACAGACAAGCATTCACTGCAGACGAGTGATGGGCGACAATCAGCTGGGACAGAGGGACAGTGTAAATTAAGGGACAGAACCATCGCAGATAAACTCAGCAAAACCCATCACAGAGGAAGGTCCGCAGGCAAAGCCGGAGGAGTTTAGATGGGGTATCTCAATTTTGTGGTCTTACAGCCGCTTGTGTGGTCCCCAGCCCTGTGGACTCCCCCAGCGTGACGGCCTGCGGCCGCTCTGATCAAGCCCTTGCTTTGGCCGCTGGGTGTCTGCCGTGCCCCGGTTCTAAACCCTCGGTCCAAACCTCCTCCTGCATGATGGGCCGAGCCCTTCTGAGTGTGGGAGCGTTCACAGAGTCCCCTTCCCCCAGTCACAGAGAATCCGCTACTGTCATTACGTTTTCTTCAGCCTAGAAGGGAAGGACTTGTTGTTCTGGCTACATCTTAGGGGCCATGTTAATCTACCCGAAGTGTCGCAGGAGCCGGGAAGGAGAGCCTCTAGAGCTGGGGGTGGGGACATCGTTTTGGTCAGAGGTTCGTAGGAATCTCTGGAGTAGCGAGTAGCTTTGGGGTGTGAAAGCAACACAGGGGAGGGAGTTTAATCAATGCTGCTTGGGTCCACTTTAATCTCTGCCGAGAAACATGGGGGAAAATAAAATCACTGAGAATTAATTTTGGTTGTTAAACTGGACTAATCTTGGGGCGCCTGGGTGGCGCAGTCGGTTAAGCGTCCGACTTCAGCCAGGTCACGATCTCGCGGTCCGGGAGTTCGAGCCCCGCGTCAGGCTCTGGGCTGATGGCTCGGAGCCTGGAGCCTGTTTCCGATTCTGTGTCTCCCTCTCTCTCTGCCCCTCCCCCGTTCATGCTCTGTCTCTCTCTGTCCCAAAAATAAATAAACGTTGAAAAAAAAATAAATAAATAAACTGGACTTCTTAAATGCATGCCTCTGCTGGACCGATGGGGGCTCACAGGCCATCGGGGGGGGGGGGGACCCTCCACGCGATCTCAGCATGCCCGACGCTCCTCCTCACGCTGCATCCCCCTCCCCCGCCCCATGACACTGCACTCGACACTCTGAATCCCACCCTTGCCCACATCTGAAATGCCACGTCATCTTCCCTTGATTCTTCTTCCCCCACAAAAATCCCAAGCAATCAAACTGGGTGTAATCATCCCCTTCTGAAGTCTCACCCCCATGACAGTCGTCACCACCGCTCACGGGGTTAACTGTCCCTCAGCGCAGGACGGGGATTCGCTTTCACTGCGGCTAAGTCCGTGGTCTCTCATCATTGCATCTTTTGTACATTTATGTTTCTTTGTTTGTCGTTTAGAAAGTCCCTTTTTAAAAATGAGGGTTTGGTCAGGCTTTGGGGGAAAGGTCAATTTGGGCATTCAAGTTACTTTCACCAGAAAATAGGTTATCACACAAAAAATATATACAGAGAAATTTTGTAGAGAAGAGGGCTAGTTTAAGCTTACCTTACGATAAGGCAACATGCTCAATATTTAAATGGATTTTAAATAATGGATCCTTGTCTGGGATGTTCTTTAAATGCACTTTGATTTTTCTCTTCTGTATTTTATCATGATGCTTCTGTGTTTCCTTCTGGGGACAAGATTCCAGATGCGTGATTGTGTAGCTCTGGTCAGACTCTTGTCTCAGCTCCTAGTGGGTCGGTTTCCTGGCCACATAAACCCTACATTTTCCCAGGCTGTAATTTCCCAAAGATCCTGCCACGGGGCGGCAGGTGTCGCTGGACCGGTAGCCGGGAGACCTTGATGCTGGTTCCCTGTGCATCACCCAACCTCCTGTCGACGGATGAAGCCAGTGGACTGGTTCTTAGGCTCTCTCCTCTTTCGGCCACTTGCTGTCTGCTTCCCGGGCAGCACAGGAAAGAGGAGTTTGGTACCACCTTCCTTCGAGGGGACTGGGGGAGGGGGTGGCTACAGTTGTAATTCAGAGGTTCCCCATCGTCTTGGGAGAACGTCTGGGGCTGAGCCTGTGGTGGTCAAGGGGCCGAGTCTTCCTGGCTTTTCACGATTTTGGAAGATACTCACAAAAAGGGGATGAGGTCACGCACTGGTGTGCAGCTGGCGAAGGCCGACGAAGACAGTGCTCTCACAGACATTCCTCCTTCTGCACCCGCGAGTCGTGGGCCTGAATTGGTCCTGGTCCCAGTCAGTTCCACCTGCAGCAACGTGGTCTCAGGAGCTCTTGAGACACGCTTTGTAACAACCGTATTTATTTGTGGATTCAGACCTTATCCTTCCAACATACGAGGACAAGACTCAAAGACACTGGTTTTTCCACCGTGGGACATGCCCACTGCTTCGTGTATGCTGACGGGTGTGATCAGGAACTTTCTGGGATAAGTTACCCCCACGTTAGGTTATAGGATGATAATTTCTTTTCTGCCTGAGACTTCTAGATCACCTCGACCCTTAAATATGCTTAAGAAGTTGAGCTTTGAGACGTTTATTACCTTTATAAATGGCGAAGGTTCGTCAGCGTGTGGGACACTTATCTACTTCCTAGGACTTTTTGTTTGGAGAATGTGGAGGAACTCTGGGATTAAGTGGCCTAGCGGGTAA